GAAAGCGCACTAATTTTACTAAATCAAAATAATTGTGTTGCTTCATGTTCATTTAATTTAAGTCATACATGGTTACCTATGCTAAAATCTGAAGTGGACCAGAGAAACATACACCCAAATTAAATTTACACCAAAATTATTAATTAACATTACCTCTATTAATTTAAACAATGAGATTAGGTCAAAGTCACATAACTGACAATTTGCACAGACGAATTATCAGAGCGAATTTTCATATACTGTATTATCCTACTATTGTTACACAATTTATTAACATACTCTTTTTTAGGTTCATTTAGGTTCTTTTGATAACGATAGCAGAAAATAGCTATCGAAACGTCAAGGTAATTTTTCAGATTAATTTCTCTACTAATTGGAATTTTCTCTTACAGCTTGAGCCTAAGTGTGTCGCAGGATACCCTCTAGGTGATAGTTCTTGATTACTTTTTGATAAATAATTCGTTCTTATTGCGAAATAGGAGCACTATTTATCAATCTGTAATAAAAGACGTGAGGGAATTCTGTCGAAAAAATTTTTGAGGCGAAATACCCAAAAAGAAGTTTGTAAAAAAATAGTTGAAATGTTTTAGGTGCTTTGTTCTTTCTAACTTGTAGTGCGGTGTATTATGAAGCTTTCAGAAAATTCATTTTTAACTTTAACGGGGTTTTGAGCTTTTCCTGAAATTATGAAAATTATGATGAATTAGAAATGTGATCATCTCTTACCGTCGTAACATGTTCCAGTTTTGTCGCAATTTACGTCGGCAGTTTTGGTGAGATTGTTCAACGTTGGGTCAATGGATGTATTGAAAACGACTGGAAGGGTGTTCTTTTCGGATCCAATTGCTGCTCCAGAATCTGAAATCGAACGTTACAAGTGTGAATTTTATGATTTACCTTTTTTTTAAATATATAAAGCCCTCTGCGGAGCAAAGAAATTAAAAGCACTGAAAAAACCTTTATAACGAAATGACTTGCATCTGCTCTAATGTAGTACTTATATGTAAATTTTATTTCCTCAAGGAATTTAAATTAAGCATTTAACAACGAATTATACGATAATTACAAGCTATAACTCTCCCTCCGTGGCATCTTTGCACTTTGTAGTGGGTACTTTTTATCGCCTATATAAAACAACCATGAATACGTTTTTATCTAATAACCACTTGGGTGAGACTAAGGCACGGATGGAATGTTTCCATTTTATAACCACCGGTAATAGTTGGTTATAAAATGAGGAATAATGTTATGTGCGAGAAGCCGCTTACCCCTTGATAAAACCTGTTTAATGATGCTAGCATTTGCTTATTGCTACGCGATAAACGTCTTGTCATAAAGCCACAGAAAAAGTATGGATTTGGAATTAAGATATTGAAAAAGCATCGGAAATGTTTGTACACTACTAGGCTTCATAAGTAACTGACTATCTTAACATTATTTGATAAATTCAAATATTTTCAGTTAATGTAAATATATTTATGTATCTTCTTTTCTGAGCAAGTAAATTTAATCATTATTTCAACAATCCATTCATCCCATATCTGCGGTCAAAGCGTACTTACTTTCACATGCATTTTCAAAATATGATCCAATTCTTTCTCCTCCATCGATCAAAGGCCTTTCTGCATTAAGATAAGTGCTGGGACCATCGGGTAAAGTTTTATGGTCCAGATGGAAAAGTTGGCAGTTATATTGGGATCCCTGAAAAATAAGGAAAGTCAATCATTGTTTCGGTTCATTATTTTCCATTCAAAATGAATTTGTTGCGTTCGTGAAACCTTTGTGTTCCGCCTTCTACATTAATTTAATCTTTTGTACATTTTTGTCCCCAATGCTTCGCCTTGTAATCCTCGTCCAGATTTTCGAAAAACTCGAGTGAAAAACATCAATCGACATTAAGAGTAAACATTGGAAAACTGACGAATCGTCTGAGGACTCATAGTTTCTTAAAACTCTTTAATTGATTGAAGCGCATTATTAAAGTCGATTCTGATCAAAATTGTTTAATTTAGTCTTTCCCATGTGTTATGGAATTCTTTCCAGTAATCTATTGATTTCTCAGGAAATTTCACTCGACGTTATTAAATAAACTTCCTTTACGATCCATTCAAGCATATTGCATATTAATTTGCCTTGATTATCAAGAAGCAGCTTCAATGAAGGGAAATGCTGGTCAATTTATTAGACTTAATTCCGGATATGGTCAATAGCAGGAAGCATTTTTTTTGTAAATTACTGATTGAGCGGCAAAATACACTTCTACTTACCAGTGGTGGGCCTTTGAACAGGAAACTCCTGCATAGAAATTCATTTTCGATTTCACATGCCAATCTGCATGCAGCTTCTGATGTCACTTGCAGTTCTTTGTCGGTGTAGTAGTTTAAGCCAGCATATTGAGCAACTTTGTCATCAGCCACGCCGATACGAGGAGTTTGGAAAATCCTATTACCTGAGGCGAAAAATACATTTATTGTTTATATTGAGCTAGCGCTCTAAGAAAGTTGGTTAAACAGTTTCGTGCAATGTTTGAACGATTCTCAAAACTCTACCTTTGCAAGCTTGATTGCCTTTGAGGCAAAGATTCTCAAAATAGTCCACTCCCTGAGCATCGACGAACTGAACGAATTGGCCTGCTGATCTTCGGTCAGTGTCGCTGAGTTGGCATTGTAGAGTTACGTAGTTGTATTCAACAGATCTGCAGGTAAATCGATGCTGGAAATTAAGAAACTGGCTCAGTACACCAAAATACGTGTTTAAACCTTGCTTATTTCAAATTGATTGACAGTTGTAGAGTTAAATAAGCTAGAAATCCCAATAACTTTATTCGCAAAACTCGAATATTATACATTGCACCGTCAATTTATCGCATAGATTCAATATTCACTGTCCTTTGATCCTGCAAATTTTCGAAGTAGGTGGTCCTATTTGTTAGTACATATTTATTCACTAATTATAAAAAAATTATCAAACTAATAAATTTTATTGATTATTACTTAATAATCATACTACGAATTCGCTGGTATGTATGTGTAAATCACTTGTTTTAAATGAGTTTGTAGGCCTGAAGAGGCATTTTTAAGGACGAAATTCGATTGCGGTTGGCAGAAATTTTGCAGTTTTGCTGTTTTTTCAGCCAATTTTTAAACTAATTTATAAAAAATTCATAAATTTTCGTAACAAAAGTCTGAATATGTTTTGTATATCGTATTTTTTCTTATATCTGTTTAGATGTTGATAATTTTGATCAGTATTGGTTATTAATTCTCCCAGAAAGCAACGGAAAAGGAAACAAAATAATAAACTAGATCATCAAATGAAATGATGATGAAATGATGAGATGCTTTATTGCTACAGAAAATTATTTAAATACACTGGCTTCGCAAATTTATCCCATATCTTAAATCTTCCTTGACTTTTTATTGTGAATATTTTCTCAGTCGGTGATCCGATTTGAATAATGTGTTTATCGTATTATAGCTCTATTTTCGGTCGAAATTTAAGTTATACTGTAAACGAAAAAAATGTTATTGACATATTGTACAGGGTGTTTAAATAATGTCATGTTTTCGTGGTCAAAGTTTAAATCTATCTGCGGGCAATATGGTGTAGCCGAGAGACAAAAATTGTACGATGGTATAGTCTCATCTATTGAGTAATTTGGATATTTAATATCCTATTTATCCTCAGCCATTCGAGAGATATAATTTTTTTATGACCGATCGATTTTTTCTTGTAAAACTTAGTTGCAAATTTTCACGCAAATCAAAAAGAGTGTCTTTTTATGACAAATATGCTGTGCGAACAACATGCAAGTTGATAGTTATTTTTTATGTTTATTTTTTCACTTCCTGTGCTCTGTCAATTAAGGTGTTAAAGTGTTAAAGTTTTTGTTCTCCAAAGGATAACGTCAAGCTAAACAGGCGATTAAAGATCCAAATTACTCGGAATTACATCATATACTTTTTTACGACTGTCCAATGGTTTATTAAGTCTGTTCTTGCATTTCTCGTAGGTTAATTTTCGTCCAAGAATGGAGCTATGATTCCATAAAATCAAAAAAACCAAAAAATCGTTCAAATCGTATTATCGATTGAGTATTCACAGTTAAAACTTAAGCAATGCGTTAAATTTGCCATGTAGTGAATATTAAAAGTAAAACGCAATACTGAAGAAAAAAAATGAAAATTATGTAAACCATTTGATTAAAAAGTTTTAATTTGGCCCTCATTAGCACATCAGTGGCAGCTACGAGACATTACCACGTAGGAGCAGCACAGCCCTTAGCAACTAATTAATTTTTCAGTCTAATTAGAAATTTTAATTAGAAGATTTTGCGGAATGGGAGCTGCATTGAGACACATCTGGAATGCCGCCTTAGCCAACTTTGCTAATCATTTTCGGTTAATTAACGGCACAACGCGCTCAAATGATTGTCTTTGAGCGCAAGAGCTCAGACCAGGAATACAAAAGTAGCAAATCTGAACTAATTAACTTTGAAAGAATGTAATTTGGTTGCGACATCGGAAGTTTAGAGCTCAATAAGCAGGCTTTACTAGGAATCAACCTAATGTTAGTACCTACCTCATTCAAGCACGCAGCTAGACAGGCTTCTTTGGTTGAAGTGTAGATGAGTGCGTTGTCTAGACCTCTAATCATTTTGTTGGGCACTCTTTCGAAAGCCCATGGTCTGAGGCAGATGTTATCACTGCGCAGCTGAAGCTTGGTCATGTAATACATGTTCACACTTCTTTGCGCCGTTGCTGAAGGATTGTTGGCCTGTGTTTCATTTTGCAATTGACATTGAGTTTCCTGAAAAAAAATGGAGTTTTACTAGTATGCAAAACTGCGGAAGTAGGCACCTTATTTTGTATCAGAGCATCTCTTAAGGGACGGATGTATGGTGCTTTTATTTTGAAAAACTCTTTTCGAGTTAGATTGTTGTTTGATTTAGTGATAAATTGTAATTAAGAAAGATGCTTCTTTGGTAATTATCAACTTTTAATATTAATTATTAATTACCGACAAAATTATTATAATTCCCAACAAAGCGACATCAAAACCAAAGAATAAATTAACTTAAAATGGAAATTGGAAAGTGTTGTGGAAGCTTTTGAGGTGCAACTACTTCTATACAAGACTTTGGAATTTATTTATGTATTGCAATTCTCTGGTGTTTACTGGTAGAATTATACATCTCCTCACACATCTGCCATAGGGCCTCTTCTTCGCGAAAAGCAGTATTCTGTATATGGACATTCTGATAAATAGAAAGAAAATGGTGCTTCGCTCTGACAAAGAAAACTAGAGCGAAAATTCGTTTCTGTGATGAAAATGTTTAAAGCTCTTTGGAAGAACCCAAAGATGAATCCCATATTTTATGAGAGACTGTATTTTGCTGAAGCAGAAAATTGTGAATGTCATCAAAGAGATAAGTTGTTCTAGTATTGCTATAAGATACATCAGCTCCTTAGTTTAAATGGGATAGATAGATAGAAATAACAATATTCCACCTCAAAAACCATTTCAAACCAACTAGTTTCCTGTTTTATATATAGACTAAGGTTTATGTTCATTCACCGTTCAATAATTTCTTTTCCCATGTCCTTCCATACACGATGACCTAAGTGTCATCGGCAAGCTGACATGCTTTAATTTTTTTTAGTTTCTTGTCTGCTAATCTTACTTGATTGCTTGCATGTTTTGATATATTTTTATATAACGTTTGATCTGGATCAATTCGATCAGTTTGATCTGCTTCAGTAATCCATTTATTAAATTCGGTGAAGATCGGAATATATTTTTTTGTAAACCTTTGCGGTGCCCCAATAAAAATAGTTGAGGTTTCTGGTAATTATGGAAATTAATAAAGGAAAATTTCATCAATTCATTTCAATTACATGTTTAGGAAATGTTTCCACTGGAATGTTTTGCTTCTAAAAAAGATCTAGAAAATTGCATAAAAATACCTTACACAATTAATGTTTTCTAATACAATTAATGCTTTCTAGTTAAAGCTTTAAGAATTATGTAGTATATTCCTGGAGTTTACAGTTTCTTCTGAGCTGGACGTTTTGGTATCAGCAATTTATCCATGTGCCGGGTTATTAATCTTATTTTGCCTACATTTAATATGGTTGATTCTATGCAAAATATCCATATAAATGTTGTAGCTCGGAAGGTGTTTTTGAATATCCCTGACGGTATTTTGTTTCATACGAATTTTGTACACGTTTGTATAAGAATTACTTCATAATAAATTATAAATTGATAAAGTTAGGACAAATAGCGTTTTGATACATGTTATTAATGTCAAGTGTTCTTCTCTAACGAAACTAATAAAATGTTGAAAGTGTGATGGTATATAAGTGTAAAAAAATCAATTGAATTTCCATTCTCCTAATCGAGTAGAATAAGGTAAACCAAGTGAAATTTAATACTTAGAGCGTATCTATAAAATTTTTACGCCCCAGCCAAAACATTTCAGCATTTCTTCATTTCCATGCAAACCGTAACCGCACGACTTCCGATATGTTTTACACACCTTTTTCAGAGATTACACACCTCTTTCAGGGAGTTATAACAAATTATGAATCATCACGAAAAGTAGCAGCGAAATGGATCCTAATTCGTGATTTTTTAAATTGATGCTTCAAGTGAACGATAATTGACGGGTCGGAGATGAAATAATATTAAGCTGTATTACTACAGTTTGATCAGACCTCGAACACGCGCCCAGTACACTTCGGAGGAATTGCCAAGGCTTTAATTAAGGATCCTTCATCGTTGATGATCAAATTACGGTATTTAAGCAGTCAAATATTTGAAGTAGGAGAATGAAGCCGAGTTCACCGAAAATATGATTGACTAAATTGTGCAGAGCCGTGAAATTAAATCGAAAATTGAGAGGATCTCGTCTATTCCAAGTTTCCGAGTAAATACGTTATGCAACAGTTTAATATTAATGACTTGGCGAGCCACTGAAAATTGCTTGCAGGTATATGGTTTTTTGGATCCCCAGTTAGCTGGGAGCAATAATAAACTAATACACCTAAAAAAGTGCTTGTAGCGGCTAATAATACTTTGTTAAGATATTGGTTACACATGTTTCAATTAATGAGATATTTTGATTAAGACCACCACACAGTTTCATAAGAAAATTAATTATACATTTTTTTAAGCATTTATTTTTTTTGGTCTTTTTACCTGGACTGGGATTAGCGGATTCAGGACAAAACTAAACGCAGCAGCTTGACAGTCGGGCTCCTCTCTACACCATCCTTGACATTCGTATAAGCTCAAGTTCTTCACTGTATAGTAGGTGTTCCCTCTATAGTCAAAGTCTGTCAATTTTTCGAAAGCTATCCGTCCTGAAAAAAAAATGAAAAAACATTGTTAACTCGTTTGCAAATGTTTAGTAAAACCAACACCAGATTAAGTGAATGAAAATAACGCTGAATGCGTTTCTCTTGTTGTAAACTCCAACTCATAAATACCCACCGACCTGTACACGCTACGTCCTAATCTCTTTGCATCAAATTAACGTTAACCAGCTAGTTAAAATAGAGCAATTGGAGCAACTGTATGTACCTAATGTACATGATCTAGTTTGAAATTCAAATTTCTCGACGGTACTTAGCTGAGCGATAAAATAGGTATTAAATCGTGCCACGCTAGATGGAAATCTTTATTGTTTGGGCTTTTTATAGGACACGATAACGATCTAGAAACCCCGCCAGAGGATGAGTATGGGGTTTTAAAAGGGTTATTGTTTTTTTTTACTTAAGCAGATATTTCGGAGCTATTACAGTACTTGCTGGGAAAACGAGGTGTAAATGAAACGCTGTTTCAATTAGCTTGACAGGTTTTTTCTAAGTTTTCTGATCTATACATTTATAACAACCGATTTCTCCAGTTCTTTTCTTGGTTTTTTTTTGGCAAATCTTTTGTTTGTGACAACGCACCTGCTAAAAGCAAAGGAAGTGCAGTCACCAAGGACCGTAAAAGTTTTGATTCCAACTTTTTATGGACCATTAATAATGGCTTTGTCGTAATTGGATCCGTCCTAATGAAATGATTTTTTGCGTTCATGTTCCATCACGTTGCAAACCCAAATTCAATTTAAAATTTCATACAGTCACTGGCAAAAAGCGTACTCATTATCTTTTCGTTTTCGTCTACAGTTAAACATTTCTAAGCCAGTGAATCTTAACATTTGAGGTCAATAAACGGTGCTGATCACTTGCCTGTCTTTTTTGTTTGCCTTTTCCTTGTTTAATTTTCAACCAGAAAATGTAATCGAATGAATATAATGTGCCGCCAATTTTCTTTTTCTACTTGTTTGTATATTAAGGCAATTGTGTATGTGAAAAATTAATTTGCTATTGATTGAAATTGTTCGTTTTTTGTTGCGAGTTTTTAAATTTACAAATTCTATTTGATGCCAGAACTGCTTTAGAAACAGTTATCTAGGATTTTTGGGTTTTAAACCGGCAAAGATTAATATTCGATAGCATTTTGCAGGCTCATGCCCAATGAGAGGGGAAAACGACTTCTTTCAGTTGTAATTTTTCAACAGTTTCAATATTATCTTCAGTTTTGCTGAATTTGCATATATTTTTGCAATGTTTATAAATTAAGATGTGCTTTCGAAATTGCTCTACGATGACAATTTTTTGGGTCAGGAACTCCAAATGCTCTTAATATTTTATATTTTTTAAGACGACAATTAGTGTGTTTTTTAGTAAAGTCTGGGTTTCGACTAAAGTCATGTTGTTCAAGTAACGGTATGTTTAAAGGGAAAGAGTTTTCTAACTTATGACGGCAAGATCTTTTTTTCAACATTGATATCGGGTGCTATAATTTATTTCAGTTTGTGTTTGCTTCTTTTTTAGAATTTTTGAATTAACTAAATCGTAACTTTTCCGTTTCAAATATTTGCTGAACCGTAAAGGAAAAGGCTCCGAAATTAAAGATGTCAAGGCTTAGCAATTTTAAGTTTCTGATATAAATTATTTTTAATTTTAAAAAATATTCATACAGTATTATAAAATATATTAACGTTTTGGATGTGAATGATCAAAATGTACTAATGGTGCGATTACAGATATTAAAGATTAATTAAATGTTAAAAATAAACCAATAAATCCGATTTGTGTGCAATGTCTTCTTATTGTTTGTTCATAAAAAAATAGGTATGGAGTAGTTTCCGGTCAAAATAAAAATCTTAATCTATAAGCAGTTTAAAAGTTAATCTGATTTGAAAATAAACCAAATACTTAGAAAAACGAGAATAACATTAATTTATATATTGCGAGTTTGCACTTAAAAAAATGCGTCAAAAAACCATTAGCTTTTTTATGTACAGTATTTATATACACTGAAATCTTAGGGGCTCAGAAATAAAAATTCAGTTTTGAAATAAGCGTTTTCATTGACAAATTTTCAAATAAAGCGGTAGAATATATTTTTTCAAAATGGTTCTAATTAAAGTCAGTTAAGTACAACTAAATAGTAATCAAGTTTAACAACAGTATGCTAGTATTTTAAAACACGCGGGTAGTTTTTTCCAAGAAGACAAATACATTTTTTTTTGCAAATTAACTCTGGGACAAAAAAGAAACCGATGCGATAAATATAATTTAATTTCAATTTTATATTATATATATATATACATAGATTTTTTAGGTGCGAATCGATTTTGATAATTTTTTGTATCAATTTTTATCAATTTTTATATCAATAATTAACCAATTTGAATTTTGTCAAAGGTTTGAATTGGTTTACCATTAGACATGTGATTATGGATGCCAAAAAAGGTGCATTTTTTTAAACGTTTTTCTACCTTGTGGAAGAAAATAAAAGCGAACTGAGATATCTCTACATGCCATTGTTAAGGTTCATATTTTTTTTTTTTTTTGATTCATGATGATTGTGCGGTTTAACAATAAATGCAAATTACGTCGTTTGGTAACCTTTTAAATAACATATTATATTTTTTACGTATTTAAAAGCAGATAATAGTAATTAAAAAGTTAATTATAATGCAATTTTAAAATTGAAAAACTTGAAACTTATTTTACATTTGATGAATGCCTAAGAAGAATACTGTTTGTTTATAGACAATTTATATCTGTAGAAAGCATATTCATTAACCATTCTATCTAATGATGTAATTAGAAAAGTTAATAATTTTTCATGGCCAATTATATAAAAATTTATCGGAATTACATTTGCGTTTTTGTTGCATTTTTTCAAAGATAAAAATTGCCTCACTCTATGTGAACATTTGATATAAACTCTTGGCTTTTGCGTATGACTCCCAATTAAGATGTCGTTGAACATATATCGGCATAATTTCCTATTCACTGCCAATGTTCTTATTACCGGAAGTACTCACAATTATTAGTAAGATTGTAGATTCAACTGAAACCTTGAAAGTTATTTCGAGAGTATTGAATAATTATCTAATAACACGATTATCAAGCAAAAACTCTTCCGTTTCGATAGAGTATGAGAAAATGAATGCGGAAATCCTAAACCTGCGGTGATCATTAATAATTCAAGATTCTGCACGATTAATTAACATTTAATAGTGGCGTTTTGCAAAAAATCTTTACATGGCGGCTCCTAAAGCTTATAATTAAAATCCTTATGTTCTAGGCGCCAGCAGGTATCCCAGATTTAGATTATTACTACTTATCTTTAAATTATCTATGTGGAATTTTTCGAAAACAAATTGATTATGACGCCAGAAAATTGTTAGTTGCATTATTAAATATGATGTATTTATGGGTGATGATTTTTTAAGTTTCTTTTCAATCATTTTGTTTTCAGACTAAGAGTTACATGCTGATTATTACTCTGATTTACATACAGGACAATTTTCATAGACCGGTTGCTAAATATTTAGTTATATTCAAATAATTCAAATCGTGAACTTATTTTGTTTTCGTTCTCATTTTCTTCGTCATTTATGTTTTACATGTTGATATTTTCAAATTTTTTAGTTTATATTTTTATTTTTTTTTATAAATTTGATTACTTTGCCTTCAAATGATAAAAAATTAGAACTGTTCTGTGATATTTTTATATAAGCATAAGCACACAACAAGAAGCAATATTATAAGAAATAAAAATATATAAATAAATAAAAATATTTTGTGTACTGTAACCAGTTCATACAAGAAATAAAGTCGTTAATTAAGCCGTATCTCATTTGAAAAATATTTCTACCACTTAAAAAAAGTTAAGCTGTTAAGCCGGTTAAATATATTTACCACTCGGGTGCGGAGACGAGTATTTAAAACAAAATACACACAAATTAAAACAATTTATAGGAAAAACTACATTCCAAACACGTTCTTAAGCTACTTAGCTTAAAAGACCATGTAGTTATCCATGTATAAGTTTTGGATAATCTTTATCAGAAACATAAATACAGATTTAAAGAAGTTTACCGGCTTTGAAGTAAAAAAAAATTGCTGGTTTATTAATACTGTTTCCCCTCGTTACGATGTACTGGAATTAAAGATAAATGCGTTCTTCGAGAAACTCATATAAAATAGTTTCGTGAATTACCCGTGTATATTAATAGTATTTCGAAATATTTTTGACTTACCTAAAGAATGATTAACAGCCAACGCTAGTAGTAGCCAAATTACAACTTGTATGGAATTCGCCATCTGAAACAACAAATATTATAAATAACGGTTTTCATTTTCAAGCACAGCCGAATCATGAAAAAATTGTAATTTAAACTGCGTGAATACGACTGCAGATGTTACACCAAAATTATATAAAAATCAATAATATATTTCATTAAAAGTGTGCTTGTCTGTTGCTACGTAAAACCTCACAATTAATTTAAAAAAAATGTATACCTATAATTTGACTTTCTCAAAATCAGACGACTGTGTTTGCACCACCAAGTTATGAGCATCTTTTTTATATACCTATATTCAGAATTTTTATTTGCCAAAGAAAACTGCTTTCTATTTATTACATTATTTGGATGTTCTGGAATTTATTTTTCAGGACAAATTGATCTGGTTTTTTGTCGTTCTTTTCAAACCTGTTTCCTATGCAGATCCTCATTTTCTGTTAAATATCCAAATTCTTTCAGAGTTACGCTCTTGCAGCATTTGATAAAAATTGCTGAGCTTCGCGGGCTTTTAGGCTACCATAAAAAACTGACGGCGTTTCTCAAGCACGAGAGGCGTGGATCTTCAGAAGTGTTTTGCGTTGAAGTTTGCGTTGTGCTGATGAAGTTTTCGAGGATGGCTCCTCTGAGGATGCAAGCCACTCGTCCTTGCGAAACGTGACTAAGACACTTTTTTCAGCAACAGTCTTAAACACGAAAAAATCAACAAAACTTCCGTTAGCTCGCAGTTTCAATTGCTCAATAGTTTAATTGTCGCTTATCACTTCTGTTAGCTTAGGGCGTGGTTATATTCGGAATACATAGATTTTATATTATCTTGAAATACATTGATGGTTTCAAAGTAATTGGAAAATATATTGTAAGATAATTCGTGCGCTATAAACCGGAGACATAATTGACTGCGACTTTGATTAATTATTCTAGATAATCAATCTTGGAATCTTTGTGGGTAAACGTTCTTAGCATTGACCTAAGATAGGCACTTAGTAATTTCTTCCAGTATTTTCCGTAATGTAATAATCAAGTTGATGAACTTGTGTGTTAATTATTGGAAAGAGAAATAAATTCATATCGCGTATGTTTTCGCTTTAGCCTCTATGTGCTGAGTATGTGCTACAGCAGCCACTGATGAACTGTCAGTTGTTCACACTCTGTATGATTTATGTACATAGAATAATAGTGCGATAGCCCGGACGGCTCAAGTGATTTATTTTATGCAGGATCATGATGTTGGCTCTGGCCGTAACCCGTAACGATACACGAGATCCTATTCAAAGTCGAAGAAAAATGCTAGGAAATGGCATTGTATAGGAGTGTCGAGAATTTTGCTATTTAAAATACGCTGCAAGTCGATAGGATGCAACCAGAACCGTGATTGTGTTAACAAAAATGAGATCGAGAAATAAACATTCAAGACAACGATTCTTGACAGTTGATTGTAATATTAAGCAGAAGCTTTGAATCGTACAACGAAGCTTTTTTATGACAAAGCTTCTATATTGAACCATCGACGGCAGTGAAACTATTTACTTTGAAGATTTATTTCAATTTACTTCATTTTTCAAATTAAACCTGGGCAGGCAGTAACAATAAACCGGGGACCGCAGGTAAATTACATGGTAGATTTGTGTGGTACATTTCCAACTGTTTACACTAGAAAATATGATTGTGGTTTGCAGATTTAAATTATTATATTGTGGCTTATTGTGGAATAACTCTTATATTAGCTGGTTTGCGTCTTTTTTCAACAGTGTCTATTACCGTTTATACGAGATATATTGGATTTAAACCAACTTGAAACCAAATATCGGCACACCAAACAGATTATTAAACTTTACACTTAAAGTACACTTGCATACATTTTTTTTATAAAACATTAATAATTCAGGTGCGATTGTATTATGATATAAAATTACTTCTGATTGAAAACTATTTAGAAAAATATGTCGTCCACTTTATGAATGCGGTAGCAAATTTAATTTCAAATTGAGCACTTAAACATAAGTAACATCGTTATATCATATTTTACTTGCAGCATTAAATAAATGACTTACGTAGAGTAAAACTGCTTAAGAAAATATGTCCTATTTTTTCTTTAGCTTACGCTTTCATTTATTTCTCACTTTTATGTAACACCATATTATTTCGATATTTATATGTTTGAAAAATATGTATTTAAATGGTTTTTTTTTCTCGTGGTATAAGGACATTTTTTGTTTCAATTAACCACTATATTGAAACAGTTAATTGGTTTTAAACCAATTATACAAGACCTTCCTTGCATACTTCTGTAATATTAAAAACTCCTTCTGAAGTATTTTTAATATCTGTTTTATGATGGTTTGTTTCGCGTTAAACAGAACGATGTATTACCTATTTAAGAAACTTAGAAAAGAAAAAGAATAATTGAGGAAAGAGAAATATGTGTAGTTTGATAGTTTTTTGAAAGTATTTATTCACCTTTTTTAGTAGCATTACAAGTATTTAAAATAACACTGATTTTACCATATGTCCTTTATCGTTGCTGAGTTTTTTTTGCAGTAAGATTAATTTTTTTATGAAAGAATAATTAACGAGTCTCTAACAGTCCATTATCCAGCAAGATAGTTATGGAATAAAATTTGAATTGATTTAAATTAAATTTGAAATACTAGTTTAAAGCTGAAGCACAATTTTTTCAGAAGTCCCCTTGTTCCAATAAAGTTTTCCAGGAATTCAAACAAAATAGCGGTGTAATAAAAACAGTGTTTAAAAGCGCAAAGCTTGAGGCCGAATGAATCCGAATACCCAAATCATATATCGACATGTGTTGGATTCGCGACAAAAAGTTCAATTTTAAATTGAATATTGCATCGATATCAATATGATGTTGCATAAAACATATGAACTAATAATCTGCAAAAAAACATCTGCCATATATTGGTTTTTAGCTAAACTTTCAATTTATTTATTAATCTCCATACCATATAGTAGGGTTTTTTTGACACTTTTGGGCTGAAACGAGTTGCATTCGATGTATAGATTAGCTACTAAAACTGTAATCAATGCGCGAAAGGGTGAAATTAAATTAGTTAAATATAATTTTACATATAATATTTTATTTAAAAAATCTATTCAACTATTTAAATAAACTGCTCAACAAAATAGACCTTACACCCACAAATTTCGACTAAATTTGAAAATGTATAAATTCTGATTTGCTGAGGGCGATTTGATTTCAGTTTGAAGCATTATTTACTACAATTATTTTTCGATGAGTGCGTGTTTTTGCAAAAAAATCCTGATTCGGGTCAACTTTCTACACGGTGGCTAATGAAAGAATGCAAAATTTGCTGAAAGTTCTAAATGCTATCAAAAAATGGACAAAAAAAACGTTTTTTTTTGTATTTCAACGCGACAAACATTAAGACGAAAAACTCAGAAACTTTTTTCGAGTTCGAGTTACGTTACGAATTTTTCGACCGTCTCGATTCTGAAATGCTTAATTTGTATTAAACACTGATTAACAAAAATCAAATGGAACTAGATAACGCTTCAAATAGAAACCAAATCGGTATAAGCAATCAGAATTCATCCACTTCCAAAGTTAGGACAAATTTGGCTGACCAGAGTGATCAGACAGTTTTACCATTAATAAAAAAGCACGAAAAAAAATATCACAGTCTATAAACAGAGCAAAAACGACTAAATATGAAAAAATCAAAGGAAAGCTTGTAAAAGCAATTTGTAGTTAAGCTAATATTATGTAGGTCAAGCGGCACTATAGATACAGCAAAACAAATTTCTTTGTTAAACATACAATAAACCTTATTGAAATGAAATAGGCACAGAATTGTCTCCGTTCTTTCCAAGCGGATGTTTAAAGCCTCTCGTAAGAATTTTTCAAAGAAAGAAAAAGCTTCAATTAGCCAGCTCAATAACTAAATGCAAATTTCATGCTGCTTGGACATAAACTAGAACATGTTATGCTAAAAATCAGTTCGGAGAAAGCGACTGCTGAGAGTTTGGAATTATTCTACAATTTATGGCATAGCAACCCATTAATGCAAAATCAGTAATAATAGGTTTATATAAGTAAGCGCCTCTAATATTTTTAAATACCTCAGCAGGCTTTAATTGCTTCAGCCAGTAAAAAAAATGTATTCACGTTTTTATATGCAATTCTGTACAACTGTACTGTTGTCTTCAACTTCAATCAATAATAAGACAGTGGAATTGATTTTAATGGTTGTTAAATTGTATGAATTAGCTGTAGCTTTAGTGGGGTTTATGATCATGACAAAACCTTGAGTATTTTATTTTCTTTGCGTTTATGAAATAAAGTTGCTCAACTGCAACAAGTTGCTGCAATTTTAATAATTGTATCATCTTTAGCAAAAATATAGAAAACTGGTCGGTTTGTAAATGTTTTCACTTAATCAACCAAACTTTCCAGATTAAAAATAAATTTTATGTCGATTTCTAGTTATTTCAGTCAACCTTTTTGCTGACCAAATGGTCCGATAAAACGTATGCAGCATAATTTCCAGTTTTATGTTGAAATTCAACTTTATGAAATTTTGATGTGAGGCCATTTGAGATTTCCTGGCGCTCGTTCCGTTCTTGATTCTCATATCTATGTAGGAAGTGGAACGGTATTTGTCTGTAAAATGTTAACGGAATATCTAAAATATTCGGTATAATCTGTTCGGGAGAAGGCGAATTTTAATATTCAATGAAATGTACGGCAAATACCAGAAATTCTCAATTACCTTCCAGCAAGATTGAAGAGAGATGCCAAAGCATTGAATGAATAAGTAATTAGTGGATTAAACGTGATTATATTTTATGTGAAAAATTGGCTAGGAATCTTATTTTGGATGTTTTATTCTGAAAATAATTATTCTCAATTGATGTTCTCTTAATGTACGTATTATTCGATAATTGTGTTGTTATTCGTAACAATTATTCTGGTTCTGTTGTTTAGTCTCTTTGACATACGTTTACAGTGTATTTTAAGAAAAACCGAGCACATTTGCATTTGTATGAAGGCAACAAATAGATACCAATTACACGTTATGTTTAACTTTATAATTGTGTCATCATGTATCTATAAAAAGCAACCCAAAATTAGGCCTGAAATATTTTGTGAGCATTATCAAATTTTGTGAATTAAAAAAATAGAATATATTAAAACTATTTGAGTCAAAACCGACACACGGGAACAGAAGTAGTAACTATTTAATTTTGAATGTTTGCAAAATTATCGGGTTTTTCTGAACATTAAAACTACAGGTTAACAAAAGAGGAGATTATAGTGATGAATACATTCAAGTATCTCGAAACTGGTAGCAAACAAAGGTACAAAAAGCAGGCGATCAAATTGTTGAATTAGTGAATTAATTAGTGAAACATCAATTTATTTTGATAAAACATTAATTTTTCTATGCACTTTCTTATATGGGCCTTTATAACATCTTGAATAAGTCTAAACATTTAGATGTTAAGCTAAAATGCTGAAATAAAAGCAATTAACATCACACTTTACATAAAGCTGACAGATTTTATACTTTTTATGAAGCTTTCATTATTTAAATTATTTCTAAAAAATAACATATTTTGCTTCGATTTTTTCAGATGAAGTATGAAGTCAAAATAAGCAACAATAGCTCATATGTTCAAGTCTTATTTTGGAAACTATCGATTTATTAATTATTTATCATTAACCAATTAAAAAATCAATTTTTAAACATCTACTGAAAAACGTTTACGCAAAGAAATTTAATGACCGTTTAGTCTTGATATAAATTTAAATTATCTGATGGTACAGTGATAGTGTAACGTGGAGCTAACTATGGAAGTACAATCTAAACCATCTGTATCCCGCACCACCCAGCTTTTTATCAAGTTTTGCTATCAGATCTCATTAGGCAATAATGCTTTTTAGCTCCTGGTCTATAACTAGTAAATTTATCTTCTGCAATGCAATTGGAAGTTGCCGGTGTAAATTAACTGTTTCATTAACTGTGCTGATAATAAAAGTCGATTTTGCCGATCGATTTTTTGCTTTCGCAGAATATCTGCGATGCCACTGCTGAGACGAACGGTAGATGTCAAGAGATGCGTGACTTGTTCTGACAAGATTGTAAAATGGATTGGTTGGTGGAATTTACAGTCTGAACATATAGCATGGCACGTGAATATTAGATAATAAAAACCTTTGTTTTTGGGCACATTGATTCGACGCTTAATATTTAACCTTGACCCTTTATATGAGCTAAAGCCTTCACACTTTTCTTTAGTTTTAGAGTTTCTTCTTCTTATTAATATCTTCCATATTTTAATGTAAATGTCTATACTCAGTTTTTTTTTGTTTGTGTTCATCCTTCCATCGATAATGCAGCGATATGACAAATTTCTCAGAAAGTAAAATCAGCGTTATATATGGAATGTAGATGCAAAACATCTTTTTTGGTGTTTTTAATTTATTTTTCAGATATTTCGAATTACACAAGCCAAACTTGTGATCTACATAAAAATTTCCACATTTTCAAGCAATAAAGCTGTGAGGTCACTATCGCAGGTAATTAAATGTAATTACCAGGCATCTTAGGACGAACATGGTGCAACGTTTGGTGGTATGAAGCGGTCTAAAGCATAGAGTAAAGTCTAATTAATTTTCCCTCCTCAATGCATAACGTATAAGCGCAATTTCCTATCCAGGATCATCTCATGGTGTAATTAATGAATAATAAATGTGTGAGGGTCGATCAATCATGGTGATTGGGGGGCAAGTAAAAAGGAGCGTCAGAATGCCTCACTTTTTACAAAAAATCAAATATACTAAGATATTTTGCTTGCCACTAGCTCATGATTGATGCTTGACTTAAAAAAGGAAAACTTACTCTCTCGTTGAATACGATCGTTGAATGCGATTTCAATAAGAATAATATGGAAGTTACGAAACTCCTTTGTGAAGTTTTCAATAACAATTCCTATTCAGAACTTTTTTCCTCTAAAGGTCTTGTGTATATAATCAAAAAGTCGAAAATATGATAATTTTGAGAGGCAACGGGCTCAAGTTGGGACATAAGCGAGGGGTTTATTCTTTGAAATATGTGTTCATGTGACAGGAAAAATACCATTGCCAGATGTTAACGCACAGTGAATGTTTGCATAAATAAAAGATATTGACGCGCTTTTCCTGGACTATAAAAGCTTAAAACAGAGTTATTTAAATCTGGTTATTTGCTGTATGGTTCTACCGGGGCGAGTATGAATAAAATGAAATTTTTGAATTGTTTGCAACAGTCCAAATAAGTGGATTAAAATTCTATTATTAATTTTATTTCGGCTTCATGCAGGACGTTACATTGTCATTATTTTATGCCCATATAGCTTTATTTGAAGTCATTAAATTCAATTTTTGTCAATACTTTTATATTGACTGGCGGTTTTATGAATAATCGAAGATTTGATTTTTTCAGGTTTTTTGCATGATTTCCAAAAAGAAAATGTTTTAATTTTAAATCGTTCATAAGTCTAATTTTGAGTTAAAAACCTATATGAAATAGCCATCACTAAATAGGTTTTTCAATGCTTTATTTAGGAGCAATAATTGTAATCTTTGAAGAGGTTTTTCAGTTTATACTGCCACTTTAAAACGATTAATTACCTTAATTTTTTTTACCTTTACTATGTGTAATGACTACCCATTTAATGATACCACATCAAGCAGGTTTAAATAGTCCTTTATGAAGAAAAGGAAAAATATAAATAATTCTTTATATAATCATAAACATTTATTTATTTTAATTGATTCTATATAATATTCTTTTTAGCCTTCTTATCTCTTCAATCTCCTCATTTTTTTTAGGGATCCTGATCATTTTATGCATATCGATCTAGTAGCTATTGTATCCTGCCTGTCAATATTCAACTCCTTCAAGAGATACTGTTTAAATTATACCTCTAAAATATAAATACACATATTACTGCTGAAAATAATATTATTGTATATTCAGAAAAAAATTATATTGGCATACATTTTCTGGATAGGCACATAAAGTTGACGATTTTTGAAACTTTACGTTACGTTTCGGATTGGAACTTAAATTCGTCTACGAAAATGTCCTGAGTGGACTTTACAGTCGTTTTACAATTAAACTCTAGAAAAATTTGGATACGAAATTGGATAAAATGTCCATTTTATTTTATCCAATAATCCATTTTATCTAAAGAAATTCCTCGGTCTCAAAGACACGCGAATAGTTCGTGACTAAAACCGCCTAAAGCATGGATGTTGTCTAAAACATTCTTTCAATAAATGGAATATACCAAGCCATTTTAATTAAATAGTTTATTCTCATCCTACCCCAATCGTTGAATAGAGCACATATTTACGGAAGTTTGGCAAAGCATTGTATGGTTTTGGATCAAAGAACGAAATTCCCCGTTTGGTTTTGTGTACGCTTTGAAGTTCAGTATCTGTTGTAATGAAATTGAGATTTGAACGCCAAAAAATGGGGGCTAAAATATTTGCACGCAATAGGGATTTTTGAAATTCGCTTAATTGGGCCAAGCTTTGCTGGAAAGTATTGAAAAAAACAGAAAATGCTTTAGATTATTTATAGGTTCCTCTAAATTTATCCTCAAAAAATTTGTAATATTATTTAAACGTCCTCTTGAAGCTTATGCTTTCATATTTACTACTTATGGTAAAATGATCTAAATCACTATTGAAATGAATGTAAAATGTAATTGTGTTTTAAATTCCTAAAGGCTCCCATTTTCTTCACTTACTTGATTTATTTTTTGATACCTTTTATAAAATTGGAGATCAATCCGCTCTGAAAATGTTTTAAACCGAAGTTAAATATACAAGTAAGTTCTTAATAAAATTAGGTAAATTGGTGTTCTAACAAGGTACAATTAATTTCTTTGGGTATCACCGACTTTATACAGAAGTACCTTGAGAGATTTCCCTGCGCAGACTTCGAATTTGTTACACCTTCCGTGTCTCCTCCATTGAACTTGAGTGATCATCTATTAATTATTTTTGGTCTTTTTGATGCCAATGATCCACTTAAATAAAAAACAGTGTATAATCTCAAGTTAATTTAGTCACCTCCACTTGCAGTAACCCTCAAGATTCCACCAATCGTTTACCTGCATTAACGAATAATCCGTTACGAATAATGAAGTTGTCATTGTCAACTATTCAAAGAATTGCAATGTCGTGTCGTACTGAAGGTCCCGCAAAAGGCTCGGAAAAGTTCATAAAAAGTGTTTTTGCTCGCAGCATTTTTGATTCGCGTGGAAACCCCACTGTAGAAGTGGACCTTATCACAGAATTAGGCTTGTTCAGAGCTGCAGTACCATCTGGAGCCAGTACGGGGGTTCATGAAGCTTTGGAGCTACGAGATGACATCCCGGATCAGTATTTGGGAAAAGGCGTGTCTAAAGCTGTGGAAAATGTGAATAATTCCATTGGTCCTGAACTGGTGAAGCAGGACTTTGATGTAACTCAGCAAGAGGAGATCGATGAGTTTATGATTAATCTTGATGGAACCGAGAATAAATCCAAATTTGGTGCCAATGCAATTCTGGGCGTTTCTTTGGCGGTTTGCAAAGCTGGAGCTGCAAAACGCGGATTACCACTCTACCGACATATCGCCGATCTAGCTGGAAATAAAAACCTCATCCTGCCAGTCCCGGCATTCAATGTTATTAATGGAGGCTCACACGCAGGCAACAAGTTAGCTATGCAGGAATTTATGATTCTTCCAACGGGAGCTTGCTCGTTCACAGAAGCTATGAAGATGGGCAGCGAAACCTACCACACCCTCAAGAAAATCATCAAAGACAAATACGGGCTTGATGCTACTGCCGTAGGTGACGAGGGAGGATTCGCCCCTAATATAGCCAACCCTAAAGACGCTTTAACCATCCTTAATGACGCCATCGCCAAAGCTGGATACACTGGAAAAATTGAAATTGGCATGGATGTGGCAGCTTCAGAGTTCTTCAAAGACGACCTGTACGATCTTGACTTCAAAAACCCCAAAAGTGACAAAAAGAATTGGATTAAAGGGGAAAAACTGATGGGAATGTATCAAGAATGGATCAAAAACTACCCGATTGTGTCGATAGAAGACCCGTTTGATCAGGACCATTTCGAAGCCTGGAGCTTAATGAAGAGTTGCACCAGCATTCAAATTGTTGGTGACGATCTCACTGTCACCAATCCAAAGCGCATACAAATGGCTATAGATAAGGACGCTTGCAACTGTTTGCTACTCAAAGTCAATCAAATTGGTACGGTAACTGAAGCAATCAGAGCGCATTTATTGGGCAAGCAAAATGGTTGGGGCACGATGGTTTCCCATAGATCTGGAGAAACTGAAGATACTTTCATAGCGGATTTGGTGGTTGGACTGTCCACAGGACAAATTAAAACAGGAGCACCTTGTCGCTCAGAACGCTTGGCAAAGTACAACCAAATTTTGAGGATTGAAGAGGAGCTGGGGCCTAATGTGCGATATGCTGGAAAAGCATTCAGAAGACCATCCTGCTAATTGTGAATCTGCTGGGTTGTTTTATCATTTTCAAGAAATATCATGGGAAATTTCTGTAAAAGTTTTTTTGATAAGTGGGCCAAAAACAAAATTTTCTGTAAAAGTCATGGCAATAAAACTTACAATTGTACAAGAGCTATTTCAGTTACCTGAATTATTATACCTGATGCAGTTGTAATATTTCGTTTTGTATTTATTGAAATCGTTCCTAACGTTTAAAACTAGCATGTCTGCAAATAATAACAAAATTTGCTAAAAACATTGAGAAATCAAACAAAATCTTCTAATTAAAAAGGATTTTGTTAGTGTTTAGCATCACTAACTAATAAAATGTTGCCAGTTTACAAAGTTTGATTGATTGATAATGATGAACATCCAAATGTTGTATGCAAAATTGACTTGCATGAATGCATTGAACATGCAAAATTGACTTAATTAACTACTTAATTAACTTGCCAGCAACATTGCAGTTTTTTAAATAATAACTAAATATTGTTAGTATTTCTCATAAAGATTATGCTATATTCATTATATTCACAAATTAGAAAATGTTTCAATTTTGTTCCTAAACATAATATACGCCACAAATAAGAAAATACGTTTAAAATAAATACATTTCATTTTTCGTAAAACTTTCAAGTAGAGATTTCAAAAAAGCAAAAAGAAAATCCATATCAAATCAATTGAAACAGTAAAAAAACGTTCAAATAACCCATTAGACACACCTATTTCATTCTTCAGTTATAATCGTGAATTATTTACTAGCTTAGAAATAATAAGGACAAATCGGTAAACAGATGTGCGACTTAACAGTTACCATTTATCGCCTTGTAATACTTTACATTTATGTATAAAGTTTCTCACATGACAGTGAAATATATTGTATTACCTACTTAACGCAATACGTTATATCCTCTTTTGATTTGGATGATGGTTGTAACCAGAACTGGCACCGTTATGTTTAATGTGATTTTTATTCGACATGCTCGATGTAGCCAAGCTTTCGTGATTTTTTTGGAATTCCTTTCAAGTAGGTCAGTAAGTTACACCGGTCCAAAAGTATGCACTTTTTGATGCAAGATTTAATGTGCAACAATTATTTAAAAATTCAGTCATTTGAAGTCGAAGCAGAACATCAGCGGAATTATTTTGTTCAAAAAAATTCTGAGAATCTTAGTTGAACGCATGTTGCTCAGAATTGTTTCAGTTTTTTGTCATGGATAACGTATTTTGATTTACAAGCACGATTTATGATATTAATGAATGTAGCAAAAATGCATATGAAATAAAATATCTGAAAACATAAAGCAAGCAATCAAAGGTTCAAACAAAATTAAGTTTTGTTCAAAGAAAATATTACTTGATTTGAAAGTTAAAACACAAAACAATCCTGTAATGCAATTGTTGCTTCCAATTAAAATGGATAATTTACAAACGTATTTGCCAATATAACGACACATTTTTGTAAAAGTTAGTAGTTTATAATTTCTCACGTGCAAAACACGATTTTTGATAAAATGATCTGATTATTACGTTACGATTGAGTTACTTCAATAACTAAAAACTTAAATTCAATTTTTTGAACTGTGTGAATCGAAATGTATTTTGCTTTTAGATTTGCTTTATAGCATGGAAATGGTCACTGTATTTTACAATAAGTTGCGTACTTCAGATAGATTGGTAGCAACTTTGCTGGTCATAATTCCCAGACTTTCATGAAATATTTTTTGTGATTCAGAAGCAATTTGTGATAATTTTTTCACATCTAAGGCGCTGAAGCCAACACTAAAAGGATAAAAACATTTTATTTGCACTGCAAAATAATACGCCCGTAAACTGTATAATATTGTCGCGAAACATTAAACTCTATCCAAAAATTATTATTATAAAAAAAATTATATTAATTTTAATTTCATTACAAAATAATCCGAATTTTTTTAAATATTTTTTGATAATCCCGCATTTTGCGCCAGTAAATCTCATGCTATGGTTCCTATGGTTAATTCTTAACATTAATAAGAATTAATTAAAAATCTTCTTAATATAGTTGATTGTGCTATTGATAAAATATATTTTTTTAACTTATCCAGTTGTTGTCTTCAAAGGTCCCTCGCCTCACTTGGGGTTAAAAACTAATTCATAATATTTGAATTTGCCAACTTTTAAAAACTTACTGTCGAAGCTCGGCGTATTTTTAACGGCACCAGCAATTTTTCTACTATAAAACTCTTTAAAATTAAGCTGAGAAAATACTTGCGGCAAGTGCTCTAAATGGGCAAAAGAGCACTAAAACCCAAACTAGCGGCATTGTAACTTTAATATTTTCTTTCAGAAGGCGGTTTTTGAAATTAAAAAAACTATCTGCCCCAATTTTACTTAGGGATCTTATAAGTTAAGTTATAAACTCTTGTGTCGGTAAACTTAGCAATTGCATTTTTTCTATTTATTGAAACTTTGTTTGCTTGCTTTGGCATTAAGTCAAGTTGGATATTTGGAGGAGAAAACGCGAATTGGTAAAATCTGATTAATCTAAAAATGTCTTAATGGCAAATTTTGGGAGTTTCATATAATTTTTTATTTCTGAAACTGTCTTACGTTTTAATCAATAATCGCTTTTTTTCGTGCTTAATTGTTGTTGATAATGTTAACATCATGTGTTATCACTATGTTGTCCTCGATTATATTTACACAACAAGCAGATTCATGTAAATTTTAGAAAAAATTAGTCGCCTAAAAAAGTCACAATCAAGGAATATTAATTCGCATAAGCTTCTTTTATATGCTTAAGAGCTGAAGTCAGTGAGCTTTTGAGACAATGTGGAAGTATTTCTGTTGATTTATCAGCATAAAAAAGTTAATTGAATATTGAAATCTGATTTTTTGAGAATTTCTGTTTTTAAGGAGGTAGCTTGAGTTGCAAAGAAAATAAGAAAAACCAATATCGTTCCTGTTGCAGAATTGTCCATCTAATAATAAAGCTAAATTAATTTGTATTGATAGATAGATAGGAATTTTGATAAATTACTCTGTAAGTATCAAGTTAGTTCACTATCCGTTGTTATACAAATCATTACGTTCAGGTAGAAACGTCGACAAGGTAGTTAATTAATATTCAATATAGTAGACCCTATGAACCTTTAAACATATCAAGTTATCACACGGAAATCCGCTTGAAGGGAAATTAATTTAATAGAGAAGTCTTGTAAAATGTATTATGTTGAAGGGTTAGCAACGGGGCGTGTGGTTTTGGTAACTGATTAGTTCAGAATTTAATACGAAAATTACCCAATCTTATCCAGGGTGTCGGTTCTATTAGAAAATTCAATAGTTTTCACCTGCTCATACGTGTTTGTGGCAGTTTTCACTCTTTGCCAAAAATATTCTAGACCATTTAAAGCTTGATTGTGGTGTATTTTCTCCAAGTTTTCTCTAGTTTGCTAATGCGTAATCAAATAGACATTTGAAATCTCGTAAATTTTACATCTAGCAATGACACCTTTTTCTCTAAAAATTTGAATATTTTCGTCTGGATTTGTTAAATCAGTAAGTGAATCAGGGGCCATCCTAAAATGCATAAAAGTTAGCCTCAATAAAAACTGTGTTATAACCACACGTATAACGGAAAGTAATTGAAAATTGTCCACGTTTAGCCTCAAACATATTTAATAAACGATCATTTGCAGAGAAAATATCAGCTTTGTAGCACACGCTCATTAACAAGCAACGTATGGAATAACTGAAATAATGCTCTTCGGTATGGTACGACGGTAGTAGAAATATGTGAATCAATTAAATTCAATGGGAAATTACCGAAAACTGTTTTACCATTTAAGGTTACGGCTTTGATGCAATACGTTACGGAACCTCTCGAGAACCTGATGCACTTGTATGGCATTCGCGTCAGATGGTACAACTGACCTACATGGTCGTTTTCATTCTCCCGAGGATATTGAACTTGAATTTAAAAATAAATCCATCTGTACTAGAAATTATTACAGATTGGAATTTGCCACATTGTAAGCGGGGTATTGTTGTAAATTGCGAAGAATTCTTTTGTACGAATCTTTAGGCAATTTTATTGCTACAATGTGTGTACGATATAACCTACTGTTGATCAAAGGAAAAGAACTCATCAAGAGGAAATATGTTGGTTGATTTTTACATGTTACAACATATGTATTCCACAATACATAGCAATCTAGGTCATACAGTCCTTTCGTTGCATGACGTTGCGTATAATATAATATAATCGACAAAAACATTTTAAACACAAAATCGAGTTTTTGTGTTTAATTCAAATCTACCGGTTCCTCAGTGAAATGTTTATAACTTGAAGTATCTGCTTTATAACGGTGCAATAAAGAACAATTTTTATTCCTGTGGGGAACTGCTTAATATTCAGAACCATAAAATCAAATGTCCAATTACTCTGAAACTGGAAATAGAATACATTATAGTCTATGTATATCTGATTAGTCTTTAGATTTATGGTCTTATTGTGTCGGAAGTGTTTTGTAACTTAAGCAGGTTGTTCTCGTTTGGAAGTCGACGAGTCATAATAGATAAATTGCACTGTGTAATGCATAAATATGACAAAATAGTGTTTTCATAAAAAAAAGTCCAATATTTGAAGCTTCTACTTGATCTAATGACAACATTAGAACGCCGATGTAAATTCGTCACAAAGAAACCTTGTATCGGTCCTAAAACATCTAAAGAATGCGCATATTCATACAAAATCCTATAAGAGCCGCACTTGCATCCTTCATCAATTTTTCATCTTTGAATGGGTACAAAGCAAATGAAAAGTAAGCATATGTTGTTATTAATCTTCTTAACAGGCGTCATATTTTACTAGAATCCAACTATTGTTGGAAATATACAATAGTTTATGTTAAGTGAACGTAGGAGCACTACTGATATAAATAAACGGATTTTAAAGAATTTGTTCTTTAGATGAGCTCTTGCTTGCTATTTACAATAGTGTTCATGTGCATCAGAACTAGTTGCGATCTTTGACCTGAGAAAACATGGGTGCGAAGTCGAAACATGCGGTTGGCATCTACTTCTAATGGGATTTTGAAGTAGAAGCTGATAACATACGCTGTACGCATTATTTGCGTATAGTAA